CCCCAAAACCCCAAAACCCCAAAACCCCAAAACCCCAAAACCCCAAAACCCCAAAACCCCGTTTTAAGTTATTTTTTAATTATTCGTTAAAAATTTTGTAAATGAAGAAGTGTCATCGTTTAACTGGAGATAAAAGTATGAGAAGACCTGATAGAGAGCCTCTAAGTCTTAGCTTTACTAATCAATCCCTGCTTTATTGGAATGAAAGCAAACCTATCTGAACAAATCCGTCATTAGCAACTCAAATGAAACGGTATTTTTAATAACTAGTTTTAGTATAAGAAGTACTTCTGCTTGGGAACGATTTATGAGTGACTCAAAAGACTACAAACAAGTAAATAGAAGTGGCTATGGTGATAAAAAGCTAAGGTAGGTTATATACTAATCTATCAGCAATAAGCTAACCTATCTTCTTCTCTTCACATCACTCACATAGTAGCTTAATCGCTTCTTAAATGGGATTAATTTTATACTCTAAACTCTCTTTCCTTAACAAGCCTTAAGCAGATACCACAATGTTCTCAGTAGCTAAACTGCATAGGCATAAGGACTATCTCAACAGCAGCAGGACTATTTTAGCAGGCCAGAGAAAGAGAGGTCGTAATGGGTTACTTTGTGAAGACAGTAGCGAGCAAGCCAGACCACAATCAAAAAGAGTCACACACAGAGGCTACAAGAAGAGCAAAGATATATTTGAGATTGTCACTGACCGGTCTACTGATACTAGCAGCAAAATAACTGGCTGCGCAAGGAAACATTTTAGCAGAGACAGTCAGGTTGAACTTAGTCATGAGAGATCAGGGAATTTAGTACAGAAGTTGTGGGATCAGAAGAAGAAAAGCTATGGAATTTTGAGAAAATTTGTCATTGAAGGAAATAACTACGAGAAAAGCAAATGTAATAAAGTTAAAGGGGTCCAAGCACATAATAAATAAAGTAAAGAATGACTTTTGTAGTTCGACAGGTAATCTTCCTGGAAGTTCTTTTGGAAAAAGAGAAAATTTCCAAAATGAAGTTCCCAAAGTTCAGAGGAAGAAAATCAATGAAGTTGCAAATGCTGCAACTTATCAGCAGCCAATAAACGCAAAGAATTATTATACTAATCAGATAGGAGCAGGAGCTAGTTTGACTACAATGCATTTGGTAAATGAAGCAACTCCAAAAGTTGATAAGAAAAGTGGGTATCATCGTTATCAGACAAAGAGAATGCATAAAATTAAGTATAATAATTAACTTAATCCTAAGACTGAAAGGGGTTTTGGGGTTTTGGGGTTTTGGGGGTTTTGGGGTTTTGGGG